GAAACCTCTTCCTATATTTGACAAGCTGTACCTTGTCAAAAGTGCATCGATTCGAATGGGGCTTATGCCGATTGAAACAAACCTATATCTCAAGAAGTGTATCGATAACAGGACTAATTTTGTTATTTACTGATATTTTTTTTATTTTTGCCTAAAAATCCACTGTCAACGTCAACCCTGGGAAGCTGGCGCCTAAGAAATATCTGGCGATGAGCAGGAAAAATCTACGCTTAACAGTAGGATTTCTGATTGGCCACTGTCAACTATGAAAACACCTCCATAATATGGGGCTAGAGGCAGGAGGCTGCTAAGCAGGATGTGTGAACAGGAAGATGAGACTGTCAGGCATGTCCTATGCGAGTGCCCGGAGTTATCGTCAATAAGAGAGTGTGTTTTAGGTGAGTATTGGCCTACACCTGCCGATATAAAAAAGACGTCTCCCAGTGACCTGTCCACCTTCCTTAAAAGGACAGGATGGACGATGACCTAGGAGGACAACTCCGTGGGAGGATGTACAATGGGTCACATGTGGCCTAAGAGCTGTGGGCTTACACTCACCGTCTCCACTCTACAGATACAGATACATGCTTTGAAGGGCCATGTTGATCTATATTAAATGCACAATGTATTTGAAGTACCTAATTGGATAAGGATTAATGCTGTATTGCCATTTGTCGAGGATAAAAAATTGGTATTGCAGGTTATCCTTAAGAGATAGATATATACCATTGGACTTTTTTGTAGACCTTTTTAAGGTGTACAATACTGTAGCACATTTTTTCATCTATCTCGTACGGTTCAGCCAGCATTTGCAATGTAAGCTATATTATGCATGTTATATAATTATAAAACCTCATCTTGAATCACTCTATCTATTGAATAAAACCAGCATCAAAATTCGTTGCGTAGTTTTAAAAATCTAAGCATACATAGGGACAGACAGCGAGAAGCGACTTCGTTTTATAGTATGTCTTGATTTTTACTTGCATTTATAAATTATTTTTATTATATTAATTTCTCTAAGCTTGTAATGTTCACAACCTTATTCACATTCAAATTTGATAATGAAATCATACTTAATGGTCATATTAAAAAAAATCAACTACTTTTTTTAGAACTGAAATTCCAACCAATTTTGTTTCCTGTTTCGTTGGCGCAAATAGACACACATTTTTCTAATTATACGCAGTATTTGCCCGAGCCAAACACAAGTTCTAGATTAATATCATAATTTCGGCTGGGAACAATTTTATTTTCTATCTACTGGCTAGGATACAACTGAATACAAAGTTACATAAATGAAATAGTATAAAGAAATGATCCAAGATACAAAAAAACTTGTTGCTTTTATACATTTCCAAAAATATATAGTGGAAAACTTACTAATTAATAAAAAATTTAAATATTAATAAACACTTTTAACTCAGTTGTATATAGATCATGAACAAAAGTTTTTTCGCAGAAAGAGCGAAGAATAAATATTATACAAAACAACTGTTACCATAATTAAAAATATTTTTTACACAATACACATTTTTTTCATCAACAACATTGACTTTACATAGAGATGTTTTTTTCTTATTCGGTTTCCACACTCTTCTACACAACCAATCTGTCACTCTGTGTGGAATAACAAGTTGAATGAAGGTAAAAATAGAAACGAAAGTGAGTGCCTCGTTTATTTCGAACGGAATCAAAAGGATATTTATTTACCAAATCAATAAACCTTTCCGTTTTTTATTATAATGTACTTAAAGTGTATCTGATATAATTTTCTCATAGTCAATTCCATAATAGTAGGCACTAAATTCTCAGAAATATTATTGCATTAAAAATTGTTGTCAAGGTTGTGGTTCTATATATTTTATCATCATTTCTTCTCATTTCCATACGCCACTGCAAGAGACAGACATACATTTCTGAGAATGTACCTAATGCCTATTATTTTGGATTTACAGTATAACTTCAGAAAATTCGTGATTTTTATGTTTTCTCCAGATCCATTAAAAAATCATATTTTACCAAAAAACAGTCCGTAAAATACTACGAACACATTGAGCATTATGTTACAAGTTCAAACTTCCATTATTTAAAATGTTGTCACCCGAAGATAATTGTGAACACTAACATTCGGAAGGTCGTTGGCATAATTTATTTCTTATTTAAATTTTTTTCGTATCTTTTCCATCACCTATCTGAATTATTTTATTTTACTGTATTTTTTCTTTACTTCCGTCCATGTTAATTTTTTAGTATTTTAATAATTTTTATTTCATTTCATTTGTTCTTTCATATATTTCGAAAATATCGACACAATTTTGGACAATACCTAATGGATGTCCGAATTGGTAACATTCACCAAGATTCACCGTCAGCCACTTTCAAACAAACGATGAGCATTACTTGATACCGAGACAAGAAGCAAAGCATCTCAAAATAGATGCCCCAATTTATATCTCAAGGTCCAGTAAACTTATAGTTTGAATCTCTTTTTAGAACACTGCATTTTCAGTGTCAAATTCAACTCCATTGTAAAAGGTCATTTTATGATACCAATGATTTGTTTACATTTCCAGTTCACCTGTTTCAGTTTATAAAATCTTATACAGAATGTTTAAGAACTACCAACTTGTTAGGGATTATTCCGATCCAGTAATAGACGACCTTCGAATATACATCCGACATTTTTTTTCTCAAATCTCTATCATTGTATTAAACCTCGAAAATTTGATTTCTCATTCCTGAAGCACCCTTTATATGCTAATTCAATAATTCTGGCATTTTTGGTGTTTTGTTAATGTTAGTAGTAAACTATGATAAACTGACAATTGAAATGATAATAAGAAACACGAGCAAATATACCTACTTGTTAAAATGTGCAGTACAATATCATATATCAAACTTATCGAAGCAGAAAGCGGAATTGTCTGACCTGACATTATTACATCCGATTCAGAAATATTTATCTTCTTGGAGAAATCCGATGTCTGGGTTTTTGTGGCATTGAATTGAACCTGGTTACCTCATTAAGATACGCAATATCCTGCTGCCGGTGAAGATATGCCTCCGTAGCCGATATCCTGGAATCCAAATGGAATGACGAGACAAATGTGCTGGCGTCAGCAAAGCAATATATTGGATTATTTTTTTCCAATAAGTCGTTGATATACAATGAAACGGGATTTGGAGACAATATGGATCCCTGGGGAACACTGGCGTTGATGGTGAAAGTATTCGAGAGATATCAATCGACAGACACTTGCAGGGAACGTCCTTTCAAGAAGCTGAAGAGCCATACACAAAAATGATTCGACTAGTCATAGCATCGAAGTCTGGACAGCAAACCCTCATACCACACACGGTCAAAGGCCTTAGAAATATCAAGAGCTGTTGCGCTTGATAGAAGATCATTTCAATGAAAAAGGAATCAATTCATCATTGCACAATTTGATGGATCTTCAGAGCTGAAACAAACATCTAGCCAGGGGAAATTTCGGAAATGGTCTTGAAGATCCTCCCATTCAGCTGATGTGTAACGCCAAATTTGCGCGGCTTAGATTGTTCCTCAACATTTATCGGTAATTCACTCAACACTGAAATGAGTTTGTGGTCAGTAGATTCCATTGGAGACTGAGTAAATTTCTGGATTGTTTCATAGGTATAGCTCCAGAAGGCTAGCATATTCTCCATCACGGTAGGAATGCTTGTTGGCTCATTTATACTCCGAGTAAGTCCGCTGCTTATTGCAAAACCCTCACTTTCGCGACCTTGTTCGTCGTTGATATTTGAATATTTGAGCCGTTCGATATTATGGACGTTGAAGTCGCCGATCGTCACGTATGATGAGAAGTGGATCCTCTACGACAACATGAGACGTTCAGGAGAGTGGTTGGTAACCAGTGAGCCACCCAGGCACTTGATTCAGAGACATTCATGTTTTCGATGCTTTCGAAAGTCCGGAAATAGCAAAGTGTGACATGAGAACTATATGAACACCGACAAAGATCCCATTCCAAACATTCTGTAATGAATCTGAAGCCGGCCCTGACCGGTGTCCCAGTCAGCCAACGCATGACGCATACCGCGAAAACTCCGGATGGGTCCCGAAATCCGCAGAGGGATCCGGAACGTTTGTTGACGATATAAAAACGTCGCTATTCGTCCCGAAGAGGGGTCTGTACCAAGAAAGCGAATCGAGCGGTTAACAAACGGTGAAGATAAATTAAGCGTTAGTTACTGAGTGGTGTAAATAAATTAGTTGTGATAGTGAAGTATTGTTGAAATAAATTTGTTTAAGACAGTTAATTCTTTAATTCGTTACAATTCCGTCCCACCAAGTGGGACGGACGACGCCGGTTGAGTTGGCGTGAGTGATATGTTCCACTCATTCAATCAACTGTCAGGTGAAACGGTGGATCGAGCCGCAATGCCGGACGATCAATTTTTACTGCCTATCGTCCAACCCGTTGCACGTTGAAAGTTAAGAACTCTGCTCGCACAAATTTCGAGTTCTGATGGATGGTGTTGGTACGGGGGTGTTCACGCCATCCTCAGTCAGGCATCGTGAGTGTCGAGAGGAGAGGGACTTTCCTAGCACCCCGACCTTCGGGACTGGGGTAGTAGACTATTAACAGCGGTAGAGACAACGCACTACTCAATTTCATAATACTTTACAATATTTTCATGTTATAATTTGTATCTTTAGTTGAAAAAATCTATTAAAATTCAACGTGCTTTGCCATTAAGCACCCATAAAACGAGACGCGACAGCTGGTTTTTGGAAAAACATCTTCATTAGTTTTTGACTTTGACAAATATAAATGTGTCTACATTTGGAACTTAATTTCTGTGAGGGAGCTTTACCCGCTGTTGAAGAGTGGACATAGCCATTGATGCACATTTGCCAGGACCTGGCACGCACGTTTGTAAAAGTATTATTAACCATATGTTTTTGCATTTCTGGTTGCATATACGAGTATCAGGCGATCCTACCGCATGTAGCAGTTGCTAACGGTGTTTACGGTTCACAATTTGTTCACCATTTGAAAGTGTTTACGTTAAGGGTGAATTTTTCTTAACGAAAATTGTAATTTGTAGATGCAGGTGATGTCAGTAGATTTATCGGTAATTATACTCTGATAGCAACGGTATTCTAAAGAGGTTTCTCAAAAAGTATTATACCTACCATTAGCTTATCGTGAATTGTAAACATGTTTTCTTAGTTATAAATGCCCAATTATCTTACGCAAAATGCCTTATATAATTCGGATCCTGATAGTGGTGATTGTGTCTTGTGTTACGAGGATGAAACAGAATTGAGAATATCCGCTCCTCCTGGTAGTGATTATGGAAAACCTCTCGGATCTCAGTAAACCCACTTTTTCAGATGGTATTTCGCTTCGTAGCATTTGAAAAATGAAAATAATGGTGGGTATATTGCAGCATTAATGAAAACATATAGGTATATTTTCCGTATCATTAATACTTTTTTAAATATCTTAAAGAAAAGGCAAAATCTCAAAAATGATCTTTTCACTTCAAGCTCATTTTTTTTCAAAACTAAGCAATGTAAATCTAGAGCATATTTATTATGCAAGTACATAAATAAAATGAAGTGAGAAGTGGTAACGATTATTAACAGGTGATGTCTACGAATTTCTTTTAATCCATTTTTTAATAAATTTAATTATAAGAGTTTATAATACCAATAATAGTTTTGTCGTATAAAAACATTTCTTCATCTACTGTGTATGCAGTCACATTGTAAATTACAATGTAACTTCGAATTGACAATGAGCTAACTTTAAAATAACCATAACCAAATATGTATTTGCATACAAATAAAAGTGATACATTTTCGAAATTGACGCAAAATCGCTCGTTACAGATTCCCATATATAAATATTTGCTTGGCCGCATTCCAATCTTGACATCCGCCAAAATCGCAAAACACTGTGAGATTTATAAATGTTTCCAGCTTCAATGTTATATTGCAACACAGGTCATTATCAAATCTCGTGTTCGAACAGTCATTCAGTGCATAAAAATAGTTTGATTCACTCGTTATTGCAGAAAGGGGATAAGCTATAAAAAGTTTCATTGAGAACTAATCAGATAAATCTCCGTCTACGCAAATTCAGATATCGACATAACGGCATTGTCTTCGATTTTTATTGAAACTTTTCACACAAAAAACTTCGAGTCGGAATATTTATTGAAAAACAATTTATTAATTATATACATTGCATATAAAATAAAGAAAACAATTTTTATCTAGCTTCTACTAAGTTTATCATTTGTTACGACCGGTTTCGGTTTATTAGATCATTTTTAAGTAACAACAGATCAAGTCAATACAAGTACTTAAATATACACTGATAAGGTCAGGTACCTGTAATAGGTACCTAAAATAACAAATGTTACCTGAATAATCAATACCTGCAGTACAATACAATACTACAATAACTAATTATCTTCTATAACAACGGTCGGCAACAGGCGAACCGCGAAAAGTCGAACATCGGACTGCCAAATATTGTTTTGTGTTATATACCAAGTATAAACATTAGTACGTAGATAAGGTATACCATACCTTTATTAATTGAAGTAATATTTTTAAGCCACATAGAATTCAACTAAGTATGTACTTATTTTATTTCAAATTGCCTAGTCAACCTGTTTTACAAGTACCTACAACTGATATGGTTTTATTAGTTTCCTATCATATGTCAGATTAAAGCTTGAACACTGCTCAATTATTTGGAGCCCCTACTATTTCTGTCATGAGTAATCAATTGAAAAAGTTCAAAGAAAATTTTTGAAATTCTTGTACTTCAAAAACACCTGGAATTTATCCAGCTAGGGGTTCTGACCACTAAAGTCTTCCCAATCACTTTCAATTAATTTCTTTAGAAAAAAGGAGAAGATGTGCTTCAATAACCTTTTTGCATAAACTACTGCACAGCCAAGTAGAGTGCCATTTGCTCCTGTCAGAACTGAACTTTAGGATGCCAAGAGCTCAGTCACGGCTGAATCTCACATTTTACTGCTCTGCAGCACGACCAAACATAATATCGCATTCTCCAATTAAATATATGTGTGAAAACTACAACTCAATATGCAGCTTTTGCGATATTAATATTTGCTCGGCGAAACATATAACAAAAGTTGCAATGGAAATCTTCTTTTTTTGTGTTGTGGGAGGGTCAGTTATTATATACAAAAAGATCTATTAAAGTAAGATATAAGGAACACATAACACACTTAAAATATAGAAGACCTGAAAAATCAGCAGTCGCCCATCATATTTTGCAACAATCAAGATTAGTTAGACAAGTTAACAACAACAGGCAATTAGATGCCTATGAGAGTGTAGAAATAAGTAAACACGATAATATTATGAATAACGATGAAGGACCTATACCAAAGAGCATACTATATAGCAGATAAGGCAAAATTGTAAAATTAATTTAGATTGGTATACCTGTATGGGTGGTACGCCTGGATGGTTTACCTGTATGGGATACCTATATATAGCATAAATAGGGCTAGCTCGCATTAATTTCTAGTTTTAATCTTCCTCTTTGAAGATGATCACTTGGTGATCGAAACACGTGTCGAGGTGTTAAAAATAACGATTTGGTGTTGGGAAAAAACTCCAGTAATATTCATTACTACACCAAAGGTTCCAAAAGTGCATCATTTGCTTTGTGGTTTTTCGCGTTTTCATAATATTTTCGTACCTATGCTAATATGGATTCTGAAATGCGTGGACAGTGAAAATAGGAGGTTTCTGGCAGAATGGACTGAACAATATTATTTTACGCTGCCTTATAGGCCTCAAGCGGTTCCAGTGTGCTTCATATGCAATAAAACTGTTGTTAAGAGTGGTAATTTAAAGCGACACTACGAAACAACTCATCAGCTGTTTCACAAAAACTTTCCTCTTGGCAGTTAGGCTCGTAAAGAAAAACTTCATGCATATCTCAATTCTCACCAAAAAAAAAACACAAAATTACTAGTTCGTTGCATGAGCGAGCAATAAAAATCCACAGATGCAGCGCTACGTTAATAGACGCTTAATATACAGCAGAAACCATTTTCAGATTCTGAGATGGTGAAAAAATGTATGTTAGAAGTAGTCACGGCACTTTTTGAACAAAAAAAGATGTCGCTGCATTTCAAAGTATTCCATTATCAGCGAGAAGTAATACACGATACACGGAAATTTTTGCTGCTGATATTAAAAACACTCTTCTTGAACTTCTGTAAAAGGCACCTTGCTACGCCATAGCACTTGATGAATCATGTGACATTGTTGATGATGAACAAATGTCTATTTTCGTAAGATTTCTTGATATTGAGCATCAGATTTTTAGGAAAGAGTTGCTAGCAATATTGCCGTTGAAAGGTTACACTCCTCGAGGAGAAGGTTTATTCAAGGTCATTGATGAATTGATTACTAAATCTAACATTAATTAGGATAAAATGGAGTCGCTTTCAACTGGCGGGGCCCCAGCAATGATTGGCAAAGAAAGAGGTGTAGTAAAGAGAATCAGGGATAAAAACTCAGGTCTAATATCGTATCAGTGCATAATTAACCAGGCAACCCTTTGTGGAAAACTTAGTGTTATCACTGAAAGAAGTGACGGACAGCTTGGTCAAGTTGATTAATTCTATGAGATTTCATTCTGCTCTTCAGCACCGACATTTCAAGGAGTTTCTTTCTGACAGCGTATTCCGACTTACTGCAACAGGACAAAATGTTCGTTGGCTAAGTAAAGGTCAAGTTATTGAAAGTTTCTGGCTGATAAAAGAAGAAGTAACCCCCTTCTTGCAAAACTTAGATACGGAGGGAACCAGAAAGCACAAACAAGCGTGATATGCTGGTCGTAGCTTTTTTTAAAGATGCGCTCAATACAGAATCACAATTAAATGGAAAATTAATATGTGATCTGACACAAAACGTGTCTGCTTTTCGTCGCAAGCTGGATATCTTTAAAAAATATATTGCAAGACAACAATTTATTCATATTCCGATAATTCTGTAATATAAAAAAACTTCGAAGAAGACATTGCAGTGTTTGTAAAAAAAAATTTGGCCGATCTTAGGAACCAATTTGCTGTAAGATTCCAAGACTTTGCAGAGATGGGCTAGTTATCTCCGTTTCTTAAATCATCATTTGAAGTTGATGTAGTAGCAGAATGGACAGATGTGGCTGCCAAAAGCATCACTTCAAATAGAGATAATTGATTTGCAAGAAGATGTGTTTTGCAAATATATAAAACGGTATCCATTGAAGAATTTTGGACCAAACATGTTCCAGAAAAATATGAAAATTGCAAAAAACAAGCTATAAATTTGGCCACTATGTTTGTCCCGACATTTGTATGTGAAACATCTTTCTCGAAGATTAATTTTTTGAAAAACAAATATTGTTCGAAATTAACGGACGCCCACCTAGAAGACACACTTCGAATTTACTGTTCCTATCGAGAACCGTATTCTCTTAACTGAATTTTATCGCCAGCCGTACAAACTCGTCGAAAACCTTTCCCCGATAGTTTCGGCAGTGAGTCTCAACGAGAACATATACCATGGATACCTACATACAAGGTTTGTGTTGGTTCTCAATTTGTACTGTTTCGGAACTTCAAAATTTAGTAAGTCAGTTGTGGACTAAGACGATTTACATAAGACAATGTTCAGTATTCAGTTGGTCGACTGTTTTCTGACTGTTAGAAATAGTTCGGACAGAGAAACAGAACGGACTTACACATTTGATGTACTCGTATCACTGCAACTGAGTACAACCGCAACGAGAAACATGAAAATTGCTGGTGCCTTTTGGCTTTGCCCTATTAGCAATTTCATTTTTTACATAATACACACTATACAAAAATGAAATGACCAAGCCGTGGAAATGACCATCCAACCTCGTTTTATCAATTCGGTCATTTCTAAATCTTCACAAATATATGTTATTATAATTTATTCTTCGTATAAGTTGAACTCCACTCTTTTGTTCAGGAAGTTAGTATCACATTTTTATTTTCCATTTGTCAACTTCACATGAATGAAGTCGATCATCATCACTATTTCCATCTGCTATATTATTTCTATTGAAATTGATAATGAATAAGTTTCCCAAACTATTGGTATTCCATCTTTTAAAGATTCTCTCAGTTTCATTTTATTTTTTTAGTGTTATACTTTATTGTATTTTATGAAAATAAAATATATGTTTCATAGAAATGTGATTAATTTTAATTTTCGCTCATTCTACGTTATATTTTATTGTTTTCAATGAAACTCTCTTTGAGTACTACTCACAGTTCATTAATAGTATTGAAATTATTCTTTTGTTTTTCAGGACTCCCCTCTCAAATCAAAGGTAGCCCTCTTCAACAAAGTTGCAGATAAACATGTTCAGGAGCAGGCAGTAAATCCATTCTCAAATGGAAAACAATGCGGCAGTTTGCCGAGGCCGTCAATTTCAAAAGAAGAATACGGAAAGTATGTTTATATTCTCATATACCCTCAACTCACATTGTTTTCTGTTGTCAAATATATATAAATATATTGACACTGATATCTCGAAAAATTCGATATTAGGGTCTCCCAACTATACTACAAAAAACTACTATCAACAACGGTAGTACTTTCTCACAAGTACTTTCTCCTTGCAGACGGTTATGCATCTACAAGCCGATTTCGGAGTACTGCCTCCCCATTCGTACAGTGCAGATCATACAAAAGACAATCGCCTCAAGCATATTTTGAATTTTGATGGCTATACAATTTCTCAAAATAATTTTACGAGAAAATAAGAAGCAATGATGATCAAAAACAATTGAATTCGGGGCAAAAATTCTTTTGAAGCTTTCAAACGATAGATAACAATATTTTTGGTAATTTTTTTTATTCCCCTTTGAAAAAAATGTAACGTGAAAGAAAATAAGTTGTGAAATCTGCTAAATGAGGAGATAAATAAACGGAGGAGCAGTTGAAAGAATCGCAATGTGTTTCTAAGCTTACAGTATGGCATTCTTATACAGTAGAATCCCTGTTGAAACGAGCGAGACTAAATAAGTTATTTGATATTGAGATTGTAAAAAAGTCGTGAGTCGAAATCGACGACTTCGATTTTCAGGGGGGGACATTTCTTCGTGAATATCAACCCCTTGCCAGCCACACCCTCCCCACAAAAATCCTCATGTCAAAAATTTCTAATGGAAATAGTCGAATGACACCTCATTTGAAAGGTCTTTTCAGAACCGGATTTAGTAAGGGCAGGCGGGGTTACTTCTCCGAGGTCTCGACGGGAGAGGGGCCCCTACAATAAAGATTAAAAAAATCCAAATTTTGGCGGGTCAGCGGAATTTAAGGTTTTCCGCGATACTTCTCGCTCGCCTCACTAGTGACTTCTTAGCAGCCACTAGGAAAGGCTTGTTGGTCATCCTATAATCCATCTCACATTGTTGTCTCGCCGACGTGATCTTAGCCTCCATCTTATGTACACGCCGTTCAATCTTCCGAATCGCAAGGCCGGGATTTCTCCTTCCGATTCGGAAAGCGAGTGGACGACGCTATATACGGCAGTGTTGATTTGCCAAATGTCAGCCTCTTCTGTAAGAACACTATGAACCTCCGCATCCTCTCCAGCCGTGCCAACGAGTGGTAGAACTGTCACTTCTACCACTTCGCTAGCAGGCTGGGAAGGAGCTAAATAGCCCTGCCGCCGAAGATAGGATACGTAATCCCTAAGATTTTGGTCGGAAAAGGCGGCATGCTCCGGATGTATTTCACACCACAGAACATGCATTCTCGCCATCTACCCTCTTCGCGCGGGCTCACTACTCTCGAAGCAATGCATAAGGCTATCTCTTAGCTCATGTGTCCACTCAAAGCGTCCTTTATCATTGCCAGGGTTGTCAACGGTAGGCAAATCATCGTTATGGGCCCCACCACCATGCCTCTGACCCCTCCGAGCTGGTCGATTATGGGGGCCCCTTCCTTGATTACTAGAAACCAAGTTTTGGGTCTACCGGGTGGACCCTGTGGACCCACGTCTGACACCGGAGGGAGAATAGTGTTCTCTTTCCCGGGTGCGCCTGGGCTGCCGGTCCGGTTTTGCACCAGTTGCTCGGGTAAGTGGTGACGCAACTCACCAAAGGCCAAGGTTATTACTACTATTATTATTATTATTTTTATTGATAAAATATTATTTTTCAATGCTTATTATTCTATTCCCGCCGAAGATAAATCCAAAAAGGCAAAAATCATAAAAATTGGTTCAGCTGTTTCTCGAGTTTTAGTGAGACTAACGAACACCAATTCATTTTTTTATATTAAAGATGAAATACCTATGGACACTCACTTCCAGTTATTTTGAAAAAATCTCATCAAATTAAAATTGTTTTATCACATGCCTGAATAAGAGAAAGCAAAAAATGTTCGTTCTATTTGCAGACCACCAAAAGGATCTCTATCAGAAATAAGAGCATTTAAAGCAACAATACACGTCAGCAGGGAAATGTTGGAACTTTGCGAGGTCATTGATCAGTGTGGAGAGCGTCTATTTACACATGAAGAAAAACCAGACGACCCTAGAATAGTCATAAGTTTTGGGGAACTTTTTTCTGTAAGTAAATAGAAATATCCCAATATTTATAACAAGTAAAAAGAAGTTTTGTAGTTGACAACTGAATTGTTCATTTGAAAAATTATTTATAGCTGAAGTAATTCAAAAGTGTGGTGTATACAGAATGTAACATAAGTATGTTTAAATATTCAAGTGTCGTATTCCTGAGACATTTTTAAGAAACAAAGTCTATATGAACTTCTGTCCGGAAATGCTTTGTTACGGAAATACAGGGTGTTGAAATTGAATTTATTGTTCGTTTTTAAAAACAACTTTTTGCAAAAAATCAGTTATTTGCACGAAATTTGGTACCCGGGGTTTTCTTTGATGTGGGAAATCATAATTTAGTATTAATTTTCATGTAACATCTAGAGGGCGCTGCGTACGCTGTCATTATTTATTTGAAATTGCCCTAACGTTTTTGACAGTAAACTTTTGGTATATTTCATGAAAAAACCTAATTCCCACACCTTTTCCAAGTTAAAAAGGTACACTTTCTCAACAACGCTGGAGTTGATCGTTTTCGAGATATTTACAATTTTTTATAACGATGCATATTACGCAGCTCCTAGGGTGCTAAGTAAAGTTGTTGAGAACATTACAAAAACTAAGTATGTGGTGAATCTCGTCAAAATAAACAACTTCTTCCTATAAAATGTTTATCGAAAAATCATTCGTTTTCGAGATACAAATTGTTGAAATTTTTCAAAACATTGTCGATTTTTTTCAAAAGTTTTTTACAATTTTAATTATTTGTATCTCGAAAACCGAATGATATTTCGATTTTATAGGAAAAAGTTTGTTTGAAGGTGGATGACAATGATTTCGTGGTGCATTTCATTAGTTCAAACTTCCATTGTGTAATATGATATAAATTGATTTGAAATCCCTGAAAGAATTTGGGAAAAAATTAAAAAAGACTAGCTGAAAAATAACAATTATATTAAGCAACAAACCTGAAATTATAGGTGAAAGCACTCGAATGACCTTATTCGAGGTGTTTTCACCTATCACCTCTTCCCCTTCACCGCTTCATCGATTTTAGCGGAAGCTGACCGTTTGGCTGGAATTGGTCGTGTTCCGCTTGATTAGAGGTTTTCATATGTTGCGTATCTCTACGCTAGCTTGGCTAAATGTGTTATTAGACAACATATATGCGGCTTATTTGAATTTTCTCCTAAACCAGTGTTTCTCCTAGGAACACTGGTTGGTCAGATCTCGAAGGAATAAGTCCATTTATCACCTGAAGATCGAAACGTCGTGAAGTAACTTGGTTTGGAGTCTTTTAATTTTTAATTTTCATGCCTTGTTAATAATTTGTTAATTTTCATCTCGTGTTAATAGTACAATTTTTTTTATTTTTTGGTTGTTGCTTGTATATTATTCCATTGTATTTTCAGTTCTTTTCCTTGATATAAGTGTTACTTTTCAGCTAATCTTTTTTAATTTTTTACAGATTCATTTAAATCAATTTATATCATATTAGACAATGGAAGTCGGAACTAAAGGAAAGGAAAAAGTTGTTTATTTTGACGAGATCCACCACATACTTAGTTTTTGTAATGTTCTCAACACCTTCACTTAACGCCCTAGGAGCTGCGTAATATGCATCGATATAGAAAATTGTAAATATCTCGAAAACGATCACCTTCAGCGTTGTTGAGGAAGTGTGCATTTTTTACTTGGAAAAGGTGTGGGAATTAGGTTTTTTCATGAAAAGTACTAAAAGTTTACTGTCAATTTCAACACCCTGTATCTCCGAAACAATGCATTTCCGAACACAAGTTTATATAGACTTTTTTCTTGAAATTGTTTCATGAATACGTCACTTGAATATTTTAACGTACTTCCGTCAATATACATAGTTTACTAAAACGGTACGAAATTTCAGGTAATACATTAGGTCGTTTTGAGAAAAAAAAGTTTTTATGAACATATGTACGGAGTTGCTTCGTTTCTGAGATACATGGCGTTGAAATTTAAAAAAAAGTACGGTATTTATTAACTATCATAATTATACTTGAACCCATTTAGTTGAAATTTGGTACAGGTACTTAAAGTAAAAAGGAGCTCATTCAGCCTCACCTCGATTGAAATTATTAGGTCCAGTGGTGTTTCAGTGGGCAAGACAGACAAAAATATTGGAGAAAAATACGCCATTGTCTTGTTTTTTTTGAGGTTTTTAGATCGATCAATTGAAATTACTACTTATTGGTAGGTATCTTATACTTTCTTCATATCTACCTTCTTTCTCGAGGAAAAATCACTTCAACTCATTCTGAAAAATATCCAAGGACAACATAAAATGAACAGCAGAAATATATAATGTATTTTCAAACTTAAAGAAAGTGAACAAAATGTCCACCTTCTGATTAAATACACGACTGCCATCGATTTGTCATTGATTATCTGACACGTTCAAAAACATCTGGAGAATATGCCATTGCAATTGTCGCTCATTCGATTCCTCGATTCATTCTCATCTAATACATGAGTATATGAACAAGAGCCTTTAGATGACTCCATAAAAAAACTAGAGAAATAGAAATCATAACAGGACTGCGAGCTGGACAATTTTAAGGTCCTGCTCGTCCAATCCAGTGATGTCGAAATGTTGACGAGTAAGAACACTAAAATTCATAAACCACATGTTGGCTCTTCCAAGTACGGGCACTTACGAAAAAAATTGGTAAATGATGTCGCAAAAAGTCTATGTAGGATTCACCTATCAATCTGGTAAAAAAGGACCAATTGAATAGTCACCAAGCGAAAATTGTTGCTGAAAATGACTTCCTTTAATAACGTGAAAGTTGTTGTCGGCCCAAAACAGGTTATTGCGAAAGTTCATAAAAGCATCTTTCGAAAAATTTGCCTCGCCAGTAAATAAAATACTTGGTAAAAAATGATTAATGTGTGTCATCGTATAAATCAACCTCCTACAAAACATTAATCTTGGAAGAAAATCTCGAGGCAGTAGAGCTTGGACTCCCTGTATATAATATGGGTTCAGGAGGTTTCTTTTTAGAACTTTCTAACTTGTTTTTCAGCTGCAGTGCAATATTCCTGATACTATTTGAAGGATGTCCTTCTATAACATCAAGAGTAGCTTCTTCTAGGTCAGGCGTTATCACAGTTTTTAGTCATACACCACCTGTATTTGTATCAAATCTCACAGTTTCACATAATGTAGTATGTAGTTTGGCAATTTTCTCTAGGCTCATTTCCCCAACTAAGTTGGTATCATCAGGAGAAACAAACAATTACATACAATAACAGTTCTGGACAAATTCAGTGTAATTTTCCCTTCTCGTTTGATTCATTTTATTCATTTTTTGTTCCGGTGGAGTTAAACGTTAGGAATAACTTATGTACCTCCCCAAATAACATTTGAATGAATTTTAACTTGAAGCGGTTCACGTTTACGGAAACAGAACCTGTTTGCTTTGCGAAACTTATTTTTTTCTTCAATATTCTTCACGATTTTTTGTTGTTTTTTAAACTGTTACTTCTCTTTTCCTTTTAATTTCATGAATTACCTAAGTAATGAACAAGTCCTTTTCATATTAGGTTATGTGTGTGTCAGTATGAACTTCTAATTTTTTATCTCTACTAAATTATCCTTGCTATTTGTCAGATTGTGGCAGTTTAGATAAAATATCCCAATAATTTCATTCACAAAAAAAAATCAAGAATGAGAACCCAACGGCTCATTTCCCATATTATTTTCCGATTCTACAGTTTTTAATCAAAATATTGCTTTCAAATTTCCAGTGTATTATTATGTTAGGTTTCTGTTGTTTTTTTTGTATATAAGTACCAGTTTTTCCACAGCTTTATAAAATTTACATATTGGAAGGAACAGTAGATACCGAGACTAAAATACCCTATTCCAGGCTACGTTTGAAGCTATTTTTTTACACTCAATGATAACGTAGAAGTTGAAACTAGAAAATCATGATCAGCTAATTATTTTCAGTCCTGTAGTAAAATTTATATTCAGTCATTTTAAATTACTTTGTCTGCTTTCAAAAGAAGAGTGTGTATTCAACAAAATGGTTAAAAACATCCTAAACTAATCATCAAAGTCAGAAATAGGTGTCAAAATGTCTATAACTCAAAAAAAAAGATTCAGAGCCGGTGTCGAAATAATAGCCACTTCCAAAGTATGTTTACTTACAATATACCTAGGTTAGAAATTAAAAATAGTTATTTTAATTTTCAGATTTATACAGCCATATCAGACAAAGTCGTGGGACTACTCCTCAGAGCTCGAAAATATAACTTGGTAGATTTTGAGGGCGAGTGTTTATTTCAGGTAAGATCATTCAGAAGAATTAAAATCGACTTACCTATTCGTTTACATCTAGAAATGTATTTCAAATATTTTCACTTTTGCATTTCCGCACTTTGTACACTTTACTATTTGTTCAATTTTTAGGGAAATAATAAAGATCACTACGATCAATTTAAATTGCGAAATATAAAAAATAGTGATCTAGTGATCTATGCTAGTGATCTCTTACAGGTCCATCTGTTGAGAAAACTGAGACTGAAAAACAGTTTTCTGTTGATAAATACCACAGAATGTGACAGAATACAGAATATACATTAACTAGTGAGAAACATTCACAATGAGCGATGGAAGTTCATACTTCTACCTAACGTTTTATGTAAATGATTATCTGCTGTCAGCTGTCATTTTCGTTTAGTGTCCGACCGAAAGTTCGTTTTCAGTTTCGGTCGAGTTTCGGATAAAAACGGGTTTCGGTTTCGACGGCAAACCTGCCGAAACTCCGACCGAAAATGCATTCGAGAGTTCTCGCGCTGTGATCGGTCATGTTCGGCACGTTGAATTTCATACAAGCGACGAAGACATTTTGCCGCGTACACGTACCTAATCATGTCGTGATTTTTCTCTTCTCCATCAGTAAATAAGTATTTTTAGAATCATTTTCTTACTCACTGTATAATTTTTGGGAGGGGTTGAAGATAGCCTTTGGCTAACCCTTTTCCTTTTATGTATAAATGTATTTTTTATGCATAATGAACGATATTATTATTATATTCAAAAAAATAATCTACATCTACTCAAATAAACAACTCACCCATTTTAAGTATTTTTAAGATGCAATTAGTATTTTTTCTTAAATAAGGGGTCGTTATGTTGATTATCAATAAGAAAAAATGTCGAAGACTGCATAACGTTGTGATTTAACAATAGAACAAATGAAGACTGACTGATTATAATCACGTTTTCTTTATTTTTCCCTCAGAACATAATTTTTGTAAGAAAGTTTCGGTTTCGGCGGAAACTTGGGCTCCATCCCGATTGAACTCAAGACGTTGGTTGGCCGAAACTGAGACCGTTGCCTAAATTCTGTTTCTGTTTCGGTCGTAAAAACCAGTTTTGGTCGGACAATTAATAACCACAGAGCAATAAAATATTTAGAGAAGCCTTACTGATTTACTAATGAATTTTGTTTTGATTGTAAGATCAGAATTTGAGACGTAGATATTGGGTTCTTTCAAATTCAGTGCTTCTTTATCTAGGACCAAGATACAGTGGCGTGACAATAGTCAGTAGCCACATTCAAATGTATTTATTTTGAATAATTTACCATTATTTTTTGTTTCAATCGATTTGATAAGTAGTATTTTTTTACTAATGAAGAATAAATACAATAATGTTATGTTTTTCATTTTTAGAGTAAGTATCGGCCAATTCCATCATATCCCTGTTAATGTATTTTGTATTTTCTTTCCTTAGTGGTAAAAAGCATCACATATGTTACAGTAGAAAAATTATGAGTTTTATGTCTTTCACGAATAATTAAAAAAAATCAATGAATACTTGAAAGCATACACAAACACAAATGGAAAATGCGGGCGCTACTGCATCAAATTTGCCTGTAGAATGTTTTGCTTACACTCGGAGATTCAGTCTACAAACTTATTTTTTAAATATTGACAAAAATGACCACGAAAGTTCTCATAGAAATAGCTCAGAAACGGAATGAAATGTTTTGAACGACAACAACGGGAGTTGGTCGTTTTACTCTTGATTAGAAATGAAAACCTCTATTCAAGAGAAAAACGACCAACTCCCGCCAAACGGTCAGCTCCCGCTAAAACCAATGAAGTGGAGAGAGGGAAGAGGGGATAGGTGAAAACACTCGAGTGACCTATAAATAGTCAGATCTCGGAGGAATAAGTCCTAAATTGAAGATGGATTTCGAATAAGTCCAGTTATCACCCGAAGACGATTGTGGATACTAACAAACGAAACGTCGTGATATAACTTGGTTTGGAATCTTTTAATTTTCATTTTTCATTTTTGTTAGTAATAAAATAAAATTGTTATTTTCGGTTAATCTTTTTCAATTTTTTTCAGGGATTTCAAATCAATTTATATTATATTAGACAATGGAAGTTCGAACTGATGAAATACAAGTTGACTTGCTTTTCGACACAAGTCATTTTTTTGACTCTAGAACCAGTCAGTCTCCAAAACATATTTACATTTAGCAGCACAATAACTGAGTATAGTACACTTGTAGTTATGATTAATATGAAAAATAGTATCCTGGGTTTCAAACATTAAAATACAATCTAATAACATTTTTCTGAGAGAACTTATTTAGAAAAAATAAATAAATAAAATAGCGCCGTGGAGTCATGGACCTTTAGAATTCATCAAATAGTAATAATATAGCATTCATTGCCAAACATAAACCATTTACAAGGCAATTGTTAAAGGATAGCAAATACAATATAATTAGAAGTATAGTAACAGCGTTACCACATACAAAAAGGAAACATGGATACAACATGAAAATAAAAAGAAAAGAAGAAAAATTTTATGATTGATTCTCAAATTACTTATAGACGTGCTCGAGATTTATTTCTTAATTCACTCATACTGAGGTTAAAATATCACACATATTTGATGATTTGTTAGCAAATGAAAAGTATTCAAAATATATTTTTTAGTGAAATTCAAAAAAGCGACAGATTGAACTACACGTCTTTTTTGTGTCTTTGAATATTAGGTACTTGATTCATTCGTTATTGAAATTTTGCTGAAATTCAACCAACATAAATATTTTATTCATCAGTACTTTGAAATTATCAGTTATCAAAATTCGATCATCAACGTTACATGACCTTCTGAGGGTATTTTTGTTCAGCAAAATTTTAAACAATAAGAAATATTATGTTCCCTATACAAATATTAATCGAAAGTATTTGTATTGCCTTATTATTTTAAATTGAATTTCCCATTAGAAATTATATAAAACATATTTCACTGGTCATAAATACATTACGAGAGTATCATCTTTGTCTAAATCCATTATTATTGTTTTCAGAGGAAAGACGATCACATCCCAATTATTCTTTTAAAGCCCATTGAAGAAATCAGGAAAATTCTACAAGAAAAAATTGATGAGGCAACTAAAGCATTAGTGGAAAGGGACGAGATTCATTAACTTCAATAATCTCTTTAACTACTGAATTTTTTTATATTCAAATATGGACCACAAACTTTTTAACAATATGTTTCCTATAATTAGAGTGACTATGTTAAGTCATAGCAATCTATCTGTTAGTTATGTTATTTAAGAAAATTCCTTATTAGAATATATAAGCAAATAATATTGGTAGCATCTGAGTTCAGAACTATGGTAGGTATAACACTTAAAATCTGGAATAAATTTCGAAACATAATTATTCATTCTTAGAATTTCAAAAAATATAAATGTAGAAACGAATCAATCTTTATCAATGTTCGTTTTCACATCACTATTACAAGTATTTGAGTTACCAATCTGCTTATTCACCTTGGAGTCGTTCATTGGAATGAATTATTCTATCACGAAGATAATTTCAAAGAATTTTTATTTTTCAAAACTGAAATAATCATGTCAATCTGAATCGCGCCTCACTCCAATGATTTATGACCACGGTAAATAAACTCTTGATCAGTTTAATTTTTTGTCTCTGTCTATGTAAAAACTAGTTAATGAATTAAAAAAAAAACATTTTTCAATGCTTTCAATCTATTCCAGTATTGTTATAAAATTATAGGTATCTAATAAAGATTTTTAGACTATACAAGATTTTTATTTTTATTCTAGTTGAAAAAACAAAACATCATTGTATAAAAAAATGGGTTGAAAGAGTCTGATTTGTAAATATGAAAATCAAAATAATTTAGTTGTCATTCAGAAATATTGGTAGAAAAATATTCATGAATTTATTGTCTACTAGTCGATACATTTACAAATCTTTCAGAAATTGAAATGGAAGTAGCCGATACTTGATGAAAATCCATATCAATATTCACTTGGAGAGAGATTTTTATAATAAAGGTTTACAAAACCACGACATGTTTCGTTAAAACCGTGATACCTCTACAAAATATTTTGAAAGAATCGAAAGCGATATCCGATATGGATTTCTCACATGGAATAATTAAATATGGCTACGTGGAGATTATTCACTCTTCATTTTATAATATATTATACCTACGTTACTGGCAAAGAAGAAACTTCTGTTCGACTAAATTCAGACAGCCGTTTCTATCCGTCAAAGTCTGATCAGTGGTACTAAACTGAGGGACAACTGTATTACTGGGCTCAACTGTACTTGAAAGACAAGCGTGAGAAAGTAAAGGCGATGTCTCTTACGAAGACGTTATCTATAGGATCGACAGAAGACTCAATCCATAAATGTCATGATATGTCCTTGCAAAGCCAGGCTACGATATCGACCATGGAACAAGATTCATCTTTATCTTTCACTGCAGCTCTTACTGCAAGACACCTAGATGAAACCACATCACCCCAAAAAACAGCATTCGTGATCCAACACCGGTGGTGCTTATATAACCAGGTTACAAGATAACATTCGGTTCGGATGAAAAGTATTGTACAGTAGTGATTAGTTTTTGAGAGATAGATAGATACATTTATATCAACAGAGTATTTTATAATCATACGTCAATAAGTGCGTACATAAAAAAATCAAACATTCAAAATGGATAGTATGGTGCAGCCAACCATAAGGCTGCACCATACTGACAATGGGCCAAAAGCCCGAAACACGTGTCTGTGGTTTGCCAATTTTTCAAGTGCTATGTCCAATTATTATTAACTGCTTTATTTATATCAAGACACTCAATAAACTTCATATTTATATGATTTTCTGGACCGGATGTCACGCAGGTAGCCATAACTGGCTCCGCGGTGATTTTGATACTTTCTTGTAAACACAAGATCTATCAACCATACCACAAATGTGCGGCTGGCTTCTGCTGATGGCTCCGTGCCTTTGTATTTCTTTGTTTTAGTAACCAAGTGTTGCCCACCCTTACACTTGGCTGCACCATACTGACGATGGACCAAAAACACGAAACACTCTATGGTTTGCCAATTTCTTGAGTGCTCTGTCCAATTATTAACTTCTTTATTTATATCAAGACACTCCATAAACTTCATATTAGCCCCATTTTGAATAAAATTCGATTCATAAATTTCTACAGGCCAGAAAATATTCATTAGTGTTGTAGGGATTTAGGTTACATAAGAATTATCTTAAAGATTCAAAAATCTATTAGCAAGGGCAATATCTTTCATGTTTCTTGGAGGGAATTTACATGGATGGGATCTTACATGAGGTCCCAATGACATTCCTGATATTGTCCTTTCTAAACCCCCAACAATCTGATAAACATCATCTTCTCGGGATATTCAACTCTATATACCGTACACGGACAATTTTCAACATCTTGCTCCAACGATATAGTAGTACCATTGTTGGAACATAACAAACCTCCTTTCGATCCCGATTCTTAATAGCCCCATATATTCCTTATCTGCACCATGGGCAAGGTGTGGAGAAGATTTTGAACGCTAGCCTTCGGTTATTTCCTTCACAGAATGATCTCATAATATCCCAACAGAAAGGATTTCGTTAAAATCGCTACACCACTGACAATTTAGTCATTTTGCAGTCAGCCGTCCAGGAAGCATTCGCAAACCGACACAAGGTTAAAGCTAGCGATCTTTTTCAATATTCGGCAAACATACAACACACTTTGGAACCGCAACATATTGGAAGAGCTGAAGAACTGGCATATATAATGAATCCCACTTGCTTTCATTTAATATTTTTTGAAAGACAGATATTTTTTTTTTGAGAGCTAATGGCATAGACTCTAAACGAAGATTTCTCAAAAATGGAACCCCGCGGGGAATTCCGCGACATTATACCTTCAATTACAAATTTCCTTATTTTGAGCAAAATAATGAAATTGCCCAACCTCTGTACGTAAAAATGAAGCCTTCTCCGAATTCATCTCCAAATACAATGAATACAACCTATACAAGGATGCCTCGTAGTCTTCTGTGTGGGAGCTGCCGTCGTCGCCATAAGTGATATGGAACATGCTTATCGTCTGCCGTCAATTTGTAGCTTTTACACAGGTTAACTGTACGCCATAGCTCAAGCCATAGCACACTATGAAAAACTGGAAGTTTTTCATAGTGTGCTATGGCTATTTTCAGTGTTACTATCTTCATTCGGGTTTTGAAGGCCGTCGTAGTTTTGGACGGCCTAACTTTCTGGCCAGCACGAGTGGCTGGTTTCTTCAGAGGTTTATGATGGTTGATGATTCACCGATGACTCGGGAGCAAAATAGTGTTATGCTTTTGCCCATGGGTTTACCAATAATTGACTACACTGTGAAATAACCAAACTCAACTTCATTTCACTGTTAATACAACAAAACACTTCAACTAAAACTTCAACTAGTATTCAAATGTCTATCGCCTTGTTAGATCGCTCTGAACCGCACTGTCACTTGAACTTAACTATCTCGATAGGCGAGTGGGACGCGTTTATTTTTGGCAATCGAAGACGGCAGAACATTCGCCGGAATTCCATCGACGCCAGTAGCATTATTCTCGCCACGTCTAGAAAGTCTGCGAGCGCAGGTTGAGTGGAGCACGTCACAATTGATTTATTACGACCAGCGGCGGCCGGCATCATTTTCTTTAGGGCATGATTTACAACAATAGTATCAAGTTTTGATTCCTTACAGCCTCATGAACAAGTCTGTGAAATTAAGACCAAACACTCGGATATTGATGGTAACAAAAAACAAAAGGTATTTTCTAAAATATATGATATAACAATAAACTGTGGCAACTATGAAAAAAGATCAACTGGTTATCAAAACTTGAATGTGATTTCTCATATATTTCTAGTAAAGGCAACTGTATTGTTTGCTGAAAAGTAGGATCCCTTGCCATATAAAATTTAAACTCAGCAGTCTCATGAAATAAAACAAGTACATTAGTAATAATTTATATTATGTATATATAACAAATTGACAAAAATCTTTACATCTCAAAAATGCAAGTGAATATATAAACAACGCTGACAAGCTTAAAAATTAGCACCAATATATTTTATGCCAATAGGTCGCCATTTCTTTAAAACAGTACAAATAATATGCAACAAAATATATAGCTAGTGTAATGAGAACTAATTGTACAGGAATAGTTTGATAATAATTCACATTTATTTTACAATTAACACACAATAAACTCATACGAGGTGATATAACTAACATTCAGTTAGATTTCAAACCTACTGTATGAGGCAAAAATTTTGCAAAAATATATAAAAATACATTACAAATCTTAATCAAAATCACGAATCTGCATCACAAAAAAAAGAATGTAACTAAAGCTAAGCCTGGATTCATTCATTCTTTGGAAAACTTTTATCAGACCACAAAAAAACCAGGCGTGAAATCGAAAACTATTCCAGATATCATCAAACATGAAAAAAATATGTGAAACAAAATATTTCAAAATCCGTTGTTTTATCAAATATATTTTCAATGAATAAATCTAGAAATTCGTATTGATAGAAGTTGTATGTAGCTTGAGCGAATTTTTTGAAATATATTATACAAATGGCAGTTGCCTGCCTGTAATTACTGTATGCAAATAATAGTTCAAATCAACTACATTGGATTTTAAAAACGTGACTTGATTTGTATAACAGCCATATATGAGTTTTGATAAAACAAAACTGATGATACAATTTGTTTCACTGTGAAATTTATTCATGACTTTTCTTTGATGACAATCATGGTTAACTTAGGAACTCCATTTCTACATATTGTTCACGTCTGATCACTATCCACCAAGCTAATGGTCGGTTTTTTTCCAAAATAATAACTCCTATGGAGTATGTAGCATATATATAAAACAAATAAAAAAATATATGTAAAAAAATTGTGCCTCAAAAAATACATTTTTAAAGAGAAACTCAAATTGTACCTTCATTTGTTTTTATAGTTCTTTTCAGGCCGTATTTATAATGAATATCTAAAATTGTTTGCAATAATATCACATTTTGAAATTTGGAAAATTACTCAAATTGCATTAGATTAGTTAGCTAGGGATGCTCCAACGTTAAATCTGGACAGTTTTGATAAGAATCAACTAAATGTCAAATCTTTTACATACTTCATCAGACAGAATTGTTGAGGAAGAAAGCAATTACACTCATGAAAGCATAATTTATTTAAAGCACATTTACTTTGCAAGGTAATAATTGTTATTGATTTTTTCAGAAACAAAGGTTATTGGTAAGGGTGTGAACTGACCTATTAAAAATCTATTTCTCTACTATTTGCTATATGAAGGATTTTTAGATTGAGGAGTCTGATCACTTCTGATACCGATAAAAATCTTTTACTTTTTTAAAATTCACATCAACTTCCCAGGTTATTGAATTTATTTTTATCATGAAAAATATCATATTCAAATATTTGTTCACATGTGTAACGAGAAAATGCCCAAAGTAAATAGCTTTTCCACTTCTCATTTGGAAAGAAAAGAAGCAATTCAACTTCACTACGAAAAGTACAATATTACTTCAGTTTCTTCAACTTTCTTTCATCTATCATTAGTTATGATACCCAAACAAAACTAGGTTATTAAGTTTAATAGTAGTTTTCTTGAAACAGTAAGAAATGTTATGCATCATTATATTTTTCAGTACAAACTTTTTAAACTCAACAGAACCTACTCCAGCGGCTCTGTTAATTTTACCATTTTATTTATATGGATTTCATCTAATATTGTGTCCACTGATTTGAATATCATTGAATACTGAAAAATGTACTACATATTTACTTTCAATATTCATTCTTAATATAAATTTTGTTTTAGAATTTGCCAATAAATATTCAATAAATGGAAAATAAAAAAGATTTTATAGAAAAACAATATAATTCTGTTATCAAGTAGGACAATATTAGATTTCCAAATAGCATAAACTTGAAAATGATTTTTTGGAATGAAACTGAAAAAAGTCATGCAATAAGAAGATAAAATTACTAAATTACATTAACCTTGTGAACATTTGCTTTCAATGTCTTTTCCCCCATATTCGTTTTTTCTATGCACAGCCTATTCGAATACTTTCTTCCTGAATCGTTCTCATCTTCCTATGAAATATTAGTGGAACAAACATAATTTCAATATGTGAATATGTCAAATGTAATGAGCACCACTGCTATCAAATAGTTATTTTATGAGTAACAATATTAACACGTGTAACTATATTTTAGTTCACTATAGCACATTGAGAAGGTACACAAAGTAGAATTGGAATAGAAATAATATATTCTCAATTATCACGAAGCTTTTCTGGGTGGTGGAGGTGGTGCAGGCAACGATATTGAACCAGATGGGTTTCCTGGAATGTTTTCATACAACATGGGCTTCACCAAGTCCTCTGGTGGTCTGTAAAAATATGACATGCTTATATGATTTTAGGCAGAAATCATGTTGGTGAAAATGTAAANTATAATTTTGAAATTTTCATATCGACTGTTGATTTCTAGAACTTCCTTTACTTCTTCAGCTGTTTCTAAAGAGAACGAGTCTAGTTTGGTTACAACAAAGTCCCTTATATAAGGATCCATACTCATATAGAGTATGATCAACAGATAAATAATTAGAGTATTTGACCCAATCTAGGAATGCATGAAGCTAGAGACGTAGTTTGATTTGGACTTATAAACCTAAAGATAAATAATGTGAGAAGGCGGTGATTACTTCGATGTTGAGTTGTGTCTTGTGTTTGGTCGTTCGTTGATGTTTTCCTTAATTGGTTTTTTTGTTGTATCTGTTTTCCTGGTATTTCGAGGGTTGTGTGTTAGTTCCGTATATTTAGAGGTTTTTCTTCGTGGGATTTGGATATTGAGGGGTGTTTCTTCACTTTCTTCTTTCTGGGTTTGTTTTTGTGTATTCAATGGTGTACCTGGGTCACTGTTTGCTTTGGTCCCTTCAAATATAAAAGGGGTTGATTCTAGTTCGGCAGCTGTATAAATTTGGTTGTCAACAAACAACTTGTTGTTTTTTATGAAACAATTTTTCTCTTCGTTTTGTCTAACAAGATAAAGATGTCATCTGAGGATTTTTCCTTCTTCTTTTTGTTCAACTGTTAAGTCGTTTGCAATGTGAATTTGAGTACTTTTTAATTTACTGGCACTTTTCAAAACTATAGAATTCTTGGAGAAAGAGGTGAATTCAATTTTTAGCGGACTTTTTCCAGATTTACCTAAGGAATACACGTTGTTCAGATCCGATTCATCTAGGTTGATATCTAAAAGATTTTTTAGGATGTTAATGGTTTCTTCTGCTTTCAATATTTCGTTTTCTCTCCTTTCTATGCCAAAAATCACAATGTTATTTTTCTTTCCTGCTCTTTCGAGGTATTCTATTTTGCTTTTTAGTTTTTGATTTTCTCTCTCAACCTTCTCGACTTAGTGTTAAATTTCCTCTACTTGAAGAGAGATCCTAACTTCAATCGCCTCTATCGTAGCTTTCAAATCTTTCTTGCATCTGACCAATTCTTTGAAAATTTGTTTGTGATTTCGATTTCAGACATATTCAACGTGTACGGTCTGCTCTAAATTCAATGAATTTTGTTGCTGATAAGATAATTGTTTGTATTGGTTTTTATATTCTGACTGCTGTTTATATGTGATCAAATGCAGGAATATGATGTTGTAGATCGTTTAGGAACTCGGAATTGAATCTCATTAGGTAAACATGATGTACTTACATTCGTATCTTGTTTTGGAAAATAACTACGATGTGTAATTTACGTGATGTTCACTAAACTAACTGGAGCGATCAGTGATATGTACTTCACAGTATTGCAGACCACACAACAACGAAATCAATTCAATCCATGATGATAATACACGGCAAATTCAAAATACATTTTCACAACCACACAAAGGCAAAAGTATTTTGTATGATGGAGTTAATTTAAATAATAAAACACCTAAAATTATATTATTGATATTATTTCCTTTTTTAGGTAATCCCAATATATTTTTCTGAAAACGGGAATTTTAGGAATTAGACGGTCGGTAGCCGGTCGGTTCGACATGGGTGCTTTGTTCACTCACTTAAATCGACCGCCGTGTTGGTCGCTGGTTCAAGCCCCACGCTGAACGATCGATTTTCACTTGCTATCGTCCAACAAGTGTTAGGAATCACACGTTAAAAGATAAGACCTCGTTAGTGCTTAGCTCGCACAAGTTTCGACTTCTGAGGGTTGTCGATCGTAGGGGTGCGACAGCTGGTTAACGGAAAATAGTCTTTAAAACAGATTTCAAACAGATTTTTTAAACAGATAAAAAGGTTACAAATTAAAAAAAACAATTATATAAGTCATAACTATTTGAATACAGAAACAACAAGTTATGATATTGCATTGAATAATTTCAGTATGGTAAAATTCAACTATCTAGTATTATTTCAAATATGCGGTAGCTGTGGTTGATGAATTTTTTAATTCTGTTCTTAGTTTAGTTATAACTTCTAATACGTTTTAGTGGCGGAAGTAAAAAATTTAAAACTCAATTATAATATGTAAACAAAAAAAAGTTGAAAAACTAATAATGGATAGAAATAATGAAAAATGCCAAGCAAGAATACAGAAAAAAGATTTCAGACCAAGCTACTTCCCGACATTTCGATCATTAATATCGTCTTGTGATCATAACCGTTATCTAGTGAAAATAAATTTTTAACACACGAATGATTATTGAGTGGATACTAATAAATCGAAACTTCGTGAAGATATAATTCTGTTAATGTGCTGTACTTTCTTTCATGCAAGAATTTTAACTTTTTCAGATTTTTGTCTATTGAATATGGTCCTGAATACTCAAAAGGGTAAGCTATACTTACCAGCCTTTGGTGTCTGTGAAATAACACAAAATTATATCTTATTGAGAGTATTTATTCTTTAAAACAGATCAAAATTTGTATCTGCAGATATACCAAAATTTTTGCTCAAAAGTTCATTTTTAAATTCTCACACAAGAGAATGAACGAACTCTACTCTACTTGGTTTGAAATCGTTTTTCTATTCATTCATTTATATTTCAGGTCACAATCATTTGTTTTTTATGCTAATATTTCATGTCATTATTACTTTAATACAACATGCCTTCCTATGACAGTAATAGAAAATCTGGAGCTCATTGAAAAAAAAATTTAGATGTTTTAAAGATTGTGATATCAAGAAATATATGTGTCCTGATACGCCGCCATCTTTTTTTCGTGATAATGATTTTTTCAACAGTCCTATTTGTTCTTTAAGTGACATTTGTTCAACCCAACCAACCTTGTCAGTCTTACCATTTCCGAGATAGCTATAGTGGGATCAGCTGGAAAACGGTCTGTATATATCAGCCTGATGAAATCGTAACTACAATTTTCACATGAAAAAAAATGTTGAAAAGAGAGTAACGAGATTTGAAATATACAAGTGGACTATTCTGAAACAGAGAGGCAAAATCTGATCGGCCTGCTTTGTCCTTTCAATTATATACTCGTAATTATCACCATCTTCTTATAGTGAATGATTTTTCTTGTTTTAGTCAGGGTCACTTCGATAAATAATCTCTAGAAAAGATGCTACAGGCATTTTCTTGTTGATACTGTTTATAGTACAAAAGTTTTAATTTGAAACAATGGTTTCTTTATTAAAAAGTAGAAAACAGGCCACTGATGAATATACATCATATGTTGGCATTGTGTAGAGTTCCTATCGAATGTTTGTAGTACAAACCGAAGGTTGAAGGTAATTGTTTTAAAAGAACTCTTAATTTTTTTAATTCAATATCTATGTGAAAGTAGTTGCTCAAGGGTATTTTCTTCCAATTTGTATCTGAAAATTACTTCTTTGCATGAACTACACATCTTTGTATAGTGGTAATTTTTTGAAATTTATTCCTTTCTTGATTCCTTCAGAAATTTACTACATTTTTTTTTGGTTACGATGGGGAATTAAAAAACCAAAAAGCGTTTTTTACAAAAAAAAATCTGCTAAAAATATTCCCTTTTCAATTCAAATGAAAACTGATGCATTGTTTCATAGTTTGCATTTCTAATATTTGATAAAAATTATTAAAATATTTCACCGAAAATTGTTAACTCAAATACGTATGAAGACTGATGTTGATGTGGTTCGAAATGTAGGGTCATTTCCTTCACATGTGCTACAACCTTCCTTTCAGAATTCATTTCATCAAAATAATACTAACACTCAGCTTTACTCATTCCAATACTGTTGATGGAGGAAAAACATTACTTTGTAATGAAGAACTATGAGTGGTGAAAATTTACTGGACAAACTATCACATTTCAAGGTAAGTGCTTGGCGTTCAAGGTCATTCAAAATGGTTAACAGTTATTTTGGTTTGAATGAGAATAAAAAAGTTGTTATGATGAAAAAGAGTAAAAGAAAATTAGAAATAGAGATAAGAATAGAGAAATCATCAAAACTTACAAAAAAGAAGTATTAAGAAAAATGCACTTACGATGAGATGTGACAGCTCGCCATTCACACCATCAGTTCATCAAGATACGGTCTATGGCAGGTACCAAGCATTATGTATTAAACAAGACACTCTACATCTACTCTGAACCTGCAAAATACCCAGTTCCTTTGAATATTTACAGGCATTTTCATGAGCTTTAGCATCTGACATCAAATATTTTCAAAACAACTTACAAGATGACTTTTATCAACAAGGGAGGGAGAGCAACAGTAAAACTTTTGACCCTGACACAATCACAATATTGAAAATTTAAATACATACCAACAAATTTAATGATATCACTCACCTTGGCAGGGGATTGATTTCAGACATGGCTCTCATCGGTTTTTTTGCTTCTGGTCTGAGTATCACAGAATACTGGTTTGGAGGAGCAGGCAGCATGATGCTGTTATTGGTCGATCTGTTGTTAAGAGACGTCGTGCTTCCAAAACAACTTGAGGCCATTGTTGGAGACATACAACTGTTTCCTATTTCACTACTATATTTGATGTTTGTGTATTCTCTTCCTAATTGCATATATTTCTGTAAGAACATAAGATCTGAGTGAAGACTTGTCATATCGAGAAATAAAATTGAAAGGCTAATGAAACCAGTTTTTGAACATTTTGTTAAAATGAGTATATTGAAAACATGAAAATGCTTATCTCAAGAAAATAATATGCAGATATGAAACATTATTTTATTTGAACAATTATTGTTTGAATAAAGCTGACAAAAAAGTGAGTAACGTGAGTGAAAATACAAAACAAATGTTGTTATTGAATTGTTATTGAATGAAATCGTTGAAAAAACACATGCGAGTATATTTACTGTAACTTACTTGTTCAGCCTTCATTCTTTCAGTGATTGTTTCTATGTGGTGTTGCACTGCTAAATAAACAAATTTGTATTGTGCTTCAGTCTGTACCATTCCGGAACGTTGGGACCTAACCATTTGTATTGTACGTTTTATATTTATTTCACAGTCAAGACCTGAAACAAAGATGTTTCGCTGAAGTCAAAGTGGAAATTATTCATCACAGAAATTCTTATTATCAATATACCCCTCATTCATTATTATGTTTGTCATAAATACACGCGATCTCTAAAACAAATGATCAACTTGTTCAAAAAGAACAACTGAATGTGTTGGTCGATGGTTTGTCTATTAGCAAGAAACTACTACTTAATTTGGTACAGATTCAAATTATACAGAAGCGCAGAAAGGCCCCATATTTTTATTATGTTTCTTGGAGATTATGGCTTTAAAACTCGAGCTAACGACTTTCAACGAGAAATTTCGACTTTAAACTATATATGATGGTAATCATCATATATAAAACATTACAAGGGTATGATTGCTAATAAAAAAATCTATTTGAAATATTTTGCTGAAGATAGTTTATATGCAAACAGTACATATAAATTAGGTATATTCTGGGAATAACTAGTTTCTTTATAATCGAAATGAAATACTATTTTCAGAAAAAGGTGGAAATTTAACTTCAAATGTCAAGTGATATGTCTAAATAGAAAAAAAGTTCTGAATAAACTTAATGCCAATATCCCTACAATTTGATCAGTGTAACTGATTTTTTTCAAGATTTAGCCATTATTTGACGAAAATCTGTGGTAGCTTTATTGATAAGCACTTTATTATGAGATAATAAAAGTTTTCAAAGCCACAACATGTGTTTCACAACTCGGATGGCTTCTTTTAGTTAGTATAATACTGTAATAGAAACACTTGAAGGAGCTATAATATGATGAAACTGTTTTTCAGTACCTATATATTAATCATCAATCACACATATAATATATAATTAATAGGTTTCAACCAAGAATCTCTATGAAACAATAAAAAGCCCCAGCAGAGCAGTTTGGAAATATCAATTATCCATTTGGTTATTTTTGAGTCAAGTATTCAAGATTATTCAGACAACTAATAGAGCCATTGTTGTTTCCGAGATGAATTGTTGAAAATAATTTTAACACACACAGAAAAGATCCATCCGCCTGACTGGAGACACGAACATCACTTGCAACCTTGATAGTCTGGAGCATCGAAAAAAGGTTGGGGTTTCGTCTCTCTCCTATAGATACTTTCACTGGAAGTGTTCAAGTAACTTGTCACATTTGATTCCCCAAGAGCAGTACATATCAGAAATATGCGACGGACTGTGGCTACTCTTCATTTTGAGGTTCAACTCAGTACACCTCGAACTTCACTGTTCAATTTTCTATTAAACCAGAACTGTATTTTTCATCAATTTTAGTATAATTTTTGAAATATAAATCCTACTAATTACATGTGGACATGTTCACAATGCAAATATGCAACACATAAAACATGACATTGTATAAAACATTATGTAAATGCCAATAGGTGGATCTCTGCATCTCTTTCTAGTAGTATGTATTCTCTTTATTGTCTACTCCATATTATAAATGAAGTAAACATTCACTCACCATGTTTTTTCAGTTGGTCCAAAATCATGTCTATTACAATAAAAGTTCCCGTTCTGCCAATACCCGCAGAACAGTGCACTAAAATAGCACCAGGTGGTTGATGAGGTGATTCTAATTGAATGGCTTCTTGACTTTTATTGACTTCATGCAGGAAATTCAAGACACAGCCAGGGTCAGCTGGAACACCATGATCTGGCCATGCCTAGAAGAAATTATGAGAATATTATTATCCAAGTTATTAAATATTACTTTCCAAAAAGTTATAAGAACATAGGCTTTTACGGCCTATGCCACAATTGAAGAGAACAAAATCCGTTCTGATACTTCAGGTTTCATTTGACAACAGCCTTCCAGTTGTGATTTTGTTCTCTTCAATTCCAAGAATTGGTGTACATGTGAAATGAGGAACTTAGGAATAATAGATCTAATGAGACAAAATTCAAACTCCAGTGAAAGAGTGAATAGACTAGGTCTTTGATGAACAATGCAGTACTCAGAATATGTACAACTACCGTACTGAGTCATGGGCGGTGGGAGAAATCATATCTGCGAAAAGTTTGGGTTGATGAATGGCAAAGAAAGTATAAGGAAAAAAGGAATAAAAACTTTTATTTGCAATTTTACGTTTACAGCTTGAATAATCTAACAGACTGATAACAGATGTCTACACATCTACTGCACATCTTGAGGGAGGTGCTTCTCACCGGCCATGACTCAGCCTGGCAGCTAACATATGACATATGTAGCTCATGTACCAATTTTTGTATTTCATGGCTATTAAGGTTTGATATGGGGGTTGCTAACTGTGCCCAAGCAATTAATAATATTAGCTGCTTATTCCCAGTGTTTTATTGAAAAAGTATCACTACTATTCTCTTTTGTCCTAAATAACCAAGTGACTACCACAATCATAGGAAGATAATGTTGGTATTGTATATTTTTGAGTTTATGTGATGTTTCAAAGTATTTTTAATTGCATTTATTTCATCATTCATGTGAATGAGGATTTTGTTTGGAGCACAAGTATTTATCATTGGAGTCAATTATCATATGTAGTTTATGTTTATATTGTCCATTTCTGAGTTTTATTTGCATTTATTCTTTGGGAAAAAGTTCTCCCCTTTTGCCCAATATGAAGTTTTGAGCAACAACCACAAGTTAACTTATATACTCCTGATATGTCTGATACTGAAGTTTTGTTTTTGTTTCCATTGAATTTGCTTAAATTATTATTTGTTCCATAAGCCACGTACAAGTCTCTCTTTTTTAAAAAAGATGTGATGTGATGACATCGTTCGTTTAAGCAAATTCATAACAAACAATAAAGATAAAACTTGAGGAGTATATAAGTTGACTTGCGGTTCTTGCTCAAAACTTTATAATTGTCAAACAGGAACTTTTTAACACAGAATGAAAGAGTAGTTTCATGAATGTGAAGACCAATTTCACATTTGCAAGATATTAAATCGAAATCAAAAAAGTTTTTCTCAGATTATTTATTTTTCAAGGATAATGCCAAAACATAATTTTATTGTGAAACTACACAGTTCACAAAATATGTTTGTAGCAAGTATATTGTATGAAAATAGTTCACATTACTTTAGAGAATATTCGATTTATTAGCTTGTTTCTAAATTTATGTCCGATTCAATGACGTATTTTTTTTGTAGCTCCATATCTCATATGGAGCTACAAAAAAATAAAAAAATATCTCCTGGTATATACTGATCGATAGAGAATTTTGTTATCTATACATTTTTCATTTTTTCCAAATGTTAATTTTTTGCCTCTATTCAACTTATTACAGCCCGAAAAAATAAACGTTGTCATTTGACAATGATAGTGTTGACGAACGCACTGCTCGACGTTGATTTGCGAAATTTCGTTCCGGAGAGTTCAGCCTCGAAGATGAGCCCCAAAGTGATCGACCTAGAGTAATCCAGGAAGAGGTTTTGAGAACCCTACTGGAGACTGACCCATCAAAAACGGTGCATGGGATGGCGGAAGAACTGGGCATCAGCTCCCATGCGGTTTTTGATGGTTGTTTAGAACAAGGAAAGGTCAAAAAGTTAGAAAAGTGGGTGCCCCACGATTCGAACTATCGACAGAAATGATCACGTTTCGAGGTCTGTTCTTCTTTGTTTTTGCGCAACCAAGACGATCCTTTATTGGATCGAATCGACACGTCTGACAAAAAGTGATCCATTACGACTTCGAGAGTCGTTGGACAACGATGAGCCACCCAGGCACTTCTCAAAGGCGAAAACCCACCAAAATAAGACATTGGGTACTGTATGGTGGTCAGCGGCTAGTGTGATTCACCGTCCGAAAATTAAACGAATTAAGCATCAAAGTTCTGCCTATCCCACCATTCTCCCCAGATATCTCGCCAACTGACTACTTTCAAGCACTTCAATAAATTTACCAGTGGTAAAATCTTCGCCAATCAGGGTCAGACAAAAACGGTCTTTGTCAACTTTATCTAGCCACGACCACACAACTTTCATGCTCACGGAATTATTTGACTTGTGTTACATATGCAAAAGTGCTCTGATTCAAATAACACTTATTTTGATTAAATTGGATAAGAATTCACCGAGATATTTGTTACAGGCTTTTCCCTGACTCAGAAGGAGTCTTTATATAATGTATAAGAGTTTTATTAGTTGTTACTCTGAAGGGGGAAACCGTAACAAAATTTTATAGTGCTCGACCGATAGCCAGTATTTGAAGTACAGTAGAGCACTGGTTAGCTCAGTCAGTAGAGCATGAGACTCTTAATCTCAGGGTAGTGGGTTCGAACCCCACGTTGGGCGCCATTGTTATGGGCTTTTTCCTGATCTAGAAGGAGTCTTTATATAATGTATAAGAATTTTATTAGTTGTTACTCTGAAGGGTGAAACTGTATCAAAATTGTATAGTGCTCTACCAAAAGCCAGTATTTGAGGTAGGGTAGAGCACTGGTTAGCCCAGTGGAGAGGGGTGGTACGTATTTCCTAAGTAGTTCAATTAATGCAACCTTTTTCTTTGGAGACAGAGAGAACTTCTATATTACGTGACTTTACGAACTCATTTTCTAATATACCCTAATATACACCTAGCCCTGTACGTACTAGGGGTTGAAACATGTCTGATTTATTTATACTGTTAAACAAGTTAGCTTAAAAATAACAACAAACAACTTGGCTGGTGACAAAATTGGGTGTCAGAAGAAAAAGGCAATAATCAAAGAAATAATGGTAGTACTCATCCGATTCGATAGCTTTCCTCCCTTTTTGGCTGCAACCTGGGAAGTTGAAACTGCACTTCCCCAACTTCCAGGAAGTAGCAGAACTGTCAGGCTTTCAAATTTCAGAAACTCCTTTATTACGATATCCAACGGCATAAAACGAAAAAGGCCTTTGATGAAGGGCGGCCTTAGAATCTGATTTCAGCTTTGTATCCCCTTTAAAAGAGGTAATAACAACTAAGCTCACAACACTAGTTGTTAAAAACGGGAAACGGCAATTCAATCCCCAATCACGGGTAATAGTAATGAAAAATAATCCAGAACTAGTATTTTCACAATCACTAAATAAACACACTGTGCTCCTGCCTGAAAAAATTCTACTATAACATTGTTTATATATGTATAGGTGAAACCGATTTTCTGTGAAAATGGAGTTCTACTTGGTGATTAAATTACTTCATTATATATACACCTCTTCTGAATTACTTACCTGAAAGTGATAATGATAAACCTTTCTTTCACAATTAGTTCCTTCCATTGTAACCAAAAACTCACTCAATTTATAGTGTGGAGGACTAGATTCGGACACATTCTTTACTTTTATTTTTCCATATTCCTTTACACAATTCAGGTCTGGCCAGTACCTGAAAAAAATTTTCAACATCATATATTTCAAAAGCATAACCCCATAAAGCATTTATAGAATTACAGTTTTGAGTTTTCTCAATGGATGATTTGCTTCATCGAAAAATTTATTACTAACTTCAATGATCTAATTAACGATGAAAGAAATTATTCCAATTTACTTTTCTAGGAGATCAATATTGTTGTTATCACCTAATACAATTAGTAAAAAGTCGAATTACACTCAACTTTAACTAATGTTATTCAAAGTGAATTCAAATATCAGGATGCCGCATGTTCTGCAATTCTGATGATCAAATATTTCAAGAACTAAGATAATGGTGAAAAACAATTCGTCATAACTTGAATGCACTATTAATCTCATCTGTTAATTACCTGGCACACTTATTTTTTCCTCGTTCTGTTTCTTTGGTAGTCATAACAATCACCCGGCAGTTTTCCTGCCACACCATCTGCCAAAAATCTGGAATAGTTGACGGAAGGCAACCCTGGGTGGCAATGTACACTTTGCCACTTGGATCACTGCCCAATTCAGTTCCTATTGTCTCGTCAGCCTTCCATCGGATGTAGTTGGCATTGATATAATCCGCTCCTGGCACTTTCGGGTCGACATCTTTTAACTTAACCCGAGTGTCATCAACTGAAGAAAATACACGAACAATTGAAATAGAGACTTGCATTGGATTGAACGTTCCAATATATTTAATATTATATTACGCAACGAGTAGGATAAGAAGCCTATTACCAACAAGCGAAAAATAGTAAGCATGAGGCGTTAGCAGAGTGCGATAATTCGCGAGTGGATGTAATTGGCCTTAACTTCGAGGTGCGTACTATACTTCTTCTACGACTAACCGTAGAAAGGAATAATACAATATATTTGTTTGAGACTATGGCTTTGGATAATGAACTCATTCAGTCAGTCAGTTAAAACTCAATTGAATGCTTTAAAAAAAATAATGACAGTATTTCCTACAAATTATTTTTATAGGGTTTATTTTTGTTATAATTATGTACATTTATAGTTACATTATTACAATTACTTGATGTTATTCCGCCGTCGATGTGGGAGGAAGACGGTTTTATTCCGTTCTGTTGAGAATTTGAAACAGTGGGAACACAAATGTTTTCAATACTATTTATGAGTACATTTGGTGTGTTCCATATGGATGCCATAGAATTATCTACATAACTTTCGGCCATGGACCGACTTTTCCAGCTACTATAGCGCTTTAATGGCATTAAGTCACCCCCTCCATCAACTAGAATGGTTACAGATGATCTTCTGAAGCAGTGTCCAGTATATGTTTCTGGATTATCCAAATAAAAAAATTACCACTACCCTCCGAGAAATAATACTAATATATTTATATCATTTACATAAAAAAAGGAACTTCCAACAGTGGGATTTGAACTCGGGTTATAGGAAAAATATATGCTATATATACACGTGTTACCACTGAGCTACTCTGGCGATTACCGATGTGATGTCTGATTGTGATATGAGTAGTGAAAATAATTGATATTCACTTTCCGAGTGAAAGAATGGATTTGAAGAGTTTTAAATAATATAATAATGTCAAATATAAGTGCGAACAGGTANCCATTGTAACCAAAAACTCACTCAGTTTATAGTGTGGAGGACTAGATTCGGACACATTCTTTACTTTTATTTTTCCATATTCCTTTACACAATTCAGGTCTGGCCAGTACCTGAAAAAAATTTTCAACATCAAATATTTCAAAAGCATAACCCCATAAAGCATTTATAGAATTACAGTTTTGAGTTTTCTCAATGGATGATTTGCTTCATCGAAAAATTTATTACTAACTTCAATGATCTAATTAACGATGAAAGAAATTATTCCAATTTACTTTTCTAGGAGATCAATATTGTTGTTATCACCTAATACAATTAGTAAAAAGTCGAATTACACTCAACTTTAACTAATGTTATTCAAAGTGAATTCAAATATCAGGATGCCGCATGTTCTGCAATTCTGATGATCAAATATTTCAAGAACTAAGATAATGGTGAAAAACAATTCGTCATAACTTGAATGCACTATCAATCTCATCTGTTAATTACCTGGCACACTTATTTTTTCCTCGTTCTGTTTCTTTGGTAGTCATAACAATCACCCGGCAGTTTTCCTGCCACACCATCTGCCAAAAATCTGGAATAGTTGACGGAAGGCAACCCTGGGTGGCAATGTACACTTTGCCACTTGGATCACTGCCCAATTCAGTTCCTATTGTCTCGTCAGCCTTCCATCGGATGTAGTTGGCATTGATATAATCCGCTCCTGGCACTTTCGGGTCGACATCTTTTAACTTAACCCGAGTGTCATCAACTGGAGAAAATACACGAACTTATTGTAGAAGACTTTTTTTAAATTGCTATCTCAATTGAAATAGGGACTTGCATTAGATTTAACGTTCCAATATATTTAATAGTATATTACGCAACGAGTAGGATAAGAAGCCCATTACCAACGAGCGAAAAATTGTAAGCATGAGGCGTTAGCCGAGTGCGTTAATTCGCGAGTGGATGTAATTGGCCTTAACTTCGAGGTGCGTACTATACTTCTTCTACGACTAACCGTAGAAAGGAATAATACAATATATTTGTTTGAGACTATGGCTTTGGATAATGAACTCATTCAGTCAGTCAGTTAAAACTCAATTGAATGCTTTAAAAAAATAATGACAGTATTTCCTACAAATTATTTTTATAGGGTTTATTTTTGTTATAATTATGTACATTGATAGTTACATTATTATAATTACTTGATGTTATTCCGCCGTCGATGTGGGAGGAAGACGGTTTTATTCCGTTCTGTTGAGAATTTGAAACAGTGGGAACACAAATGTTTTCAATACTATTTATGAGTACATTTGGTGTGTTCCATATGGATGCCATAGAATTATCTACATAACTTTCGGCCATGGACCGACTTTTCCAGCTACTATAGCGCTTTAATGGCATTAAGTCACCCCCTCCATCAACTAGAATGGTTACAGATGATCTTCTGAAGCAGTGTCCAGTATATGTTTCTGGATTATCCAAATAAAAAAATTACCACTACCCTCCGAGAAATAATACTAATATATTTATATCATTTACATAAAAAAAAAAGAATTTGGAGAGAAAATCCACTGATTTTGGCTCTTGGACAATTGAATGTATTCATGAAATCTTATTTATTTATCAGAGTAAATGTTACATATCTCATCAATTTTTAAAATTTCGTTTGAAAGTGGCAGCCATTAATTTAGAATACTCGTGTATTCCAAATAAGCCATTACCTATCTGCTGTCAAACACGTAATGATTAATTTAGAATGGAGGGAATAGAAAAAAAAATTAGCCCATTTGATATTCGTATGAATGGCACGAATAGAATTTCGCTAATCACTTTTTGGGGAACACACATATTGTCAAAAGCCATAATATTTGAATATCATATCGATACAGTACAGAAAGTACAGATTTCACAACATTTTGATTCTATCAAAAATAACACCATAAAACACTGCTCTATTTCAATAACGAACCAAGAAAAATTCATATTGAAAACATATCGATGGATAGGACGAGAGTACAGGATGGGAATACTACGTTTGTTTGAAGGTGGTTGACAATGTTTCGTAGTGTATTTCATCAGTTCAGACTTCCATTGTCTAATATAATATAAATTGATTTGAAATTCCTGTTCTACCATCACTCTGGAGTAACCATTCCGTTGAAGGTCGTTTTTGATGATGCCTAGTTCCCTTTCGAGACCTTCCTTTGTATTACAAGGCCCGAAGGCACGGTCTAGTAGAGTCTTGATGATTTCTCTCTTAGTCGACTGATAGTGGTTGGATGGATGGATCAATCGACTAAGAGAGGAATCATCAAGTTGATTGATGGTGGTTGGATGGATGGATCAATCGACTAAGAGAGGAATCATCAAGTCGATTGATGGTGGTTGGATGGATGGATCAATCGACTAAGAGAGGAATCATCAAGTCGATTGATGGTGGTTGGATCAATCGACTAAGAGAGGAATCAATCATCAAGATTCTACTAGACCGTGCCTTCGGACTCTGTAATACCAAGGAAGGTCTCGAAAGGGAACTAGGCATCATCAAAAATGAACTTCAACGGAATGGTTACACCAGAGTGATAGTAGAACAGGCTTTAGCTAGAAGACAGCAAGAGCCCCACAAGGAACAAAAGCCTCCACAACCAGTACTTGTACTTCCCTACATCAGAGGATTATCGGAAAGGATACGAAGATTGGGTCCAAGTATTACATCAGGACCTGCTTCAGATCTGGCAACACTATCCGTAGCAGCGTCACGAAAACCAGGCGACCAAACGCGGACTGCGATTCCAAGAATTGCATTTACCGGATACCCTGCGAGTGCGAAGAATCATACATCGGTGAAACTAAGAGGCCATTGAAAAATCGCATTGCTGAGCACAAGAAACACACACAGCGAGGAGAAACCAGCAAATCCGGAATAGCAGAGCATGTTTGGGCTCATCAACATAATAATCAAGTGGGCTCAAGCTGAAATCATCCACAAAGAGGAACACTGGTTTAGGAGAAAATTCAAAGAAGCCGCGTATATGTTGTCCAAAAACGCATTTAGTTAAGCTAGCGTAGAGATACGTAACAAATGGAAACCTCTGATCAAACGAAAAACGACCAACTCCCGCCAAACGGTCATATCCCGCTAAAAACCAATGAAGTGGAGAGAGAGAAGAGAGGATAGGTGAAAGCACTCGAATAGCCTATAAATAGTCGGATCCCGGAGGAATAAGTCCAAAGGGACAAACATCCAAGGCCGACGAAGCAGAATCAGAAACCGCCCCCACGAGTCGCCGTAAGGCGACTCCGGTAAGAATTAATAATATACAGGAGATTTGCTAATAGAAGTTATGTCATATTGGAAATACCATTCCATCCATTGAGTAACTGAAATATTTGACTTTTTGGTATCATTTCTGTATCACTTCATTATGAAGTATGTATATAACATTTCAATATATTTTGAATTTTCTATACTTTTTGTATATCTGATAAGAATTTCTCATTTTCAGTGGGTATAAAACCTTCAAGATGTTACATGTTTTTACCTCTTGATATTTTGACTTGACTAACTATGACAATTTGTAGGTAACCTCAATTTGATAAAATCACTTACAAAACGAACTTATTTGCAAAAATCCAAGGATAATTTGAAAGAAATATAGTCCGGGACTGAAAATATTGGGTGTTTGATATAATTGAAAAATTGGAATATAATGCAAAATCACCCTTAATATAAATAAAAATGTTTCAACTCTGAAGAAGAAATAATAAAAATGGGAGACTGTTATACTTGAAAATGGAAAACTTACAAGGTAGTATATTTTTGTATCTATTCTTATTTCTATTTTCAGGTTTGACACCCTCCTTTCTTTGATATAAATTCTTGAATTCCTGTTGCTGTAACGACTCAAATTCGTCCCAAAATCCTGTTTTACCAAACCTACTGGGCTCATTTTCGCTCTGAAAAAAAAATTAACAGTATTCATTACAGGAATTGTTATTGATTAGAATATTTTTTTGATAAAAAAACTATATAGGTATGCTCATTTTCCAACTGCAATTTTGAGAACAAAGTTTTTTGAAACAATTAATTTATGTTTGATTTAGTAAGCTATATATTTACCTGCAATTGTTTTACCCTCGAATGTATTCCGGAAGCGTTGATTTTAGTAGCATTGAAAGGTTGTTTCAAATGTACTACAGTACCTGATGTTTCCACCATCGGGTTTCTTTTGTAGTGTTCAATCAAATCTGCGAGACTGCTGAATTGATCCCCACCACCTACATCGTATTTGTTGTCCTGTTGAATGAATAATTTTAAACACATTGATTCATACTACTTATAAAAAACTAAATATTTGGTGGCTTTCAATGGAAGAGAAAGAACACATCGCTGTGCTAGAACAATACTAGGACAACTTGAAAAATGGTCAATTTAAGAAATCTGTTACAAAATAATGTTGAGAAAATACTGAATGTGAGAAAGTACTTTGGGCTAATATAAAAGTATTGCGTGTCACCAAAGAGGAACCAAATTCAATTTATTATAAAGACACTTTCAATACAGAATCTTTCAGAAAAATAATGATCACTCAAAAAAATGAAGAAGGAAATAATAAACCTAGTGCAGCGTATATTAACTGGCCAAAAATGTCGTTTGAAAAACACACAGATCTTTTGATCTTAATCAAACATACCCCAGTAGAACATTATGATTTCTTCAAGAGTTTGAAAGCCTTTAGAAAAGGGCAAAAGGTAGAACATGAGGAGAGTGAGTAAACTTCAAGTAATTAATACCCTTCTTTATACGTTTCGTCATCAAAGTTCCTATTTTAATGTCATGGAATAGTACCTAATAGTTAGTTTTGTTTATTGTTAAGAGTTTATATTCATTTTACTTGTAAAAATAAATGTTTTTTTCTTCCTATTGCTGTTTTCATTAACTTGACATTCGAAGGACAACTTTAGAAACAACGAAAGTGAAAGACAAATTCTCCAATTTTCCTCCACAATTCATGCAATACAAGGTTATTGTCAAAAATGAGAAATGAAGTCAAGTTTACTGATGTTCAAAAAAATATAGAACAATACAAGGACTTATTCAACAAAAGTAGGAATGAATAACTTCGACCAAAAACCTAGATATCTTCGAAATATAATTTTTTTCCCACTGTAATACAAAGATATCTTACAAAAAGAAGTTAAAAAACAAAATTGACACTTTATAACAATAATGATATTAACATTAGGCTTCCATATACCGTAGACACCAAACTCCATAAAATGACATTGTGAGTTTGAGAAATGTAAATATCAGCTAGAATTATAACATTAAAACCCAATTTTCACGAAACTATGTTTGTCAAGTTGTCCTAGTATTGTTCTAGCACAGCGACATATGAAAAATGGGCATTTTCCAGGAACAATTCATATTGATCCTCATATAGAAACATTTGACCCAACTTCTTGAGTCTTTATGTTCCACGTGAATTTGTTCAATGTTTAATACCATATTTGAATTCTCAGTTAATTAAAATCCAGCCTGCCATCTGGCAGTCGGCTTTTTCTTCAAACAACAAAATAATCATTTACTGTCAAAAACATCAACTCCTTATCTGCATTTGAAAAGGTAACTTCTTCGTAAAAGAAAAAACAGAAACATTGACTCCTTTATGCAGGTGTAGAATACAACAAAAAAAAAACAAGGAAGTGTAGAAAACTGAAATTCGATATTTTGGAAAAATCATTGAAAAATTTCAGAATGCTATATATATTACTTACAGAAGTACACCTGATCATAACGTGGGTAACTTTGTCGTCCGTACGAACTGACAAAACGAAATCACCAGGATTTCTTTGGCTTTCCCTAACTAAAAAGCTGCCGTTTTTACCCCCGTCTAACATGAGTTTTTCCGCTTCTTTGCCAGACAAATGCCCATGAAACCATCTGAAACAAAAGAGAAAATAATTATTGATAATCTCTGTATAGCCTCGTCACATGATTCTTTTATGAATCTGTATGCAGAAAGTGTTTAAGAGATAATAAACTTTATCAATCATCTAAACTACTGGACAATTCGTTTCAGAAATTGAAATCGAAATTTGATTGAAAGTGAAAATAACAAATTGTCAGAATTGAAGGTACTGAGTACCGTGTTAGAAATCGCACGTTAAAAGGTAAGACCTCGTTAGTCTTTAGCTCGCACAAGTTTCTCAACTTCTGAGAGTTGTCGTTCGTATTTGGGGCGACAGCTGATTAACGGAAAAACAGATTTTAAACAGATAAACAGAGTAATTTTGTTAATAACTTGGACACTGAAATTGCATTCCTTCCTAGTTTTTTACTTTTCAAAAGCAATTTTCAATCAGAAAACAGATTATCGAAGAGTATTGATAATATTAAGTATCATTTCGAACTAGTTTATTATTAATTTATTATTTTACGCTCGAGAAAGTTATTGTGTCGCGGTTTTTGTAAAACCCTGTATAGTGAAAATCATACAATAAACTGTATCAACAATAATAATAATAATTTATTATCCTAAAACACATACAATGTTTATAGCAGGAAAAAAAATTAAAAAAACTAATTATGACATAACTATAAACAGAGCACACAAAAAAAGATGAATCAGACTTGAAACATCAAAAAATATAAATATACATACATATACACATATATACATACATATATGTTTGAATATGATGTTCAACATGAACATAAATGTACTCATCAGATAATATATCTATACAAACAATTTTCTTATCGTGTCAATGTGTTCTCTCCATGATACATTTTCATCTATATAGAATAAGACCAAGAAATTTAGCACTAGGAGAGTATTTAATATTTTCATTATTAAATTTAATTGGATCTTTTGAATCAATTGATATTGACCTTTTTGATATTAACATGAGTTTTAATATGGATTTCCATCAAGTATCGGCCAGTTCTATTAATTCAGTTCAATTTATAAGAAATCTGAGAAAAATCAATTGTGACATAATTTGAATTTTTTATCTATACAAGTGCTGGACTTCAATAGGTAAGTTCTCAAGTAAGGAATAAAATGATGCCAGTTCCTGTAATTAGTCGCAGGGACACTACTGAGGATAGGTACCTACTGTGTAACTTGGAATAAAAAGTTATAGATTTATTTAGACGATCATGAAAAACTGAGATATACTGATGCGTGAGAAGGAATATAGGTTTAAGTTTAATCTTCCTCTTGAAGATGATCAGTTGGTGATCGAAACACGTGTCGAGGTGTTGAAATAACGGTTTGGTGTTGAGATACAACTCCAGTAATATTCATTACTACACCAAAGGTTCCAAACAGTGCATCACAAGTAATTAATATTAATTCAGTAGTATATAGTAATATGAATTGAAAGGAGAAATTAAAAGACATCTTAAAACACTAATAGTCAATGGTCTCTATATTGTCTTTGATATATAATATTTAGGAAAAGATCGACGCCGCAAATTTCAATTGTAGAAATAGTACTACAGAAACTTTTGAGTTAATATTTTTCTAAGCTACCATTTCTACTTTGAAATCCATTGTTTTTAATCCATTGTTTTGAAAATAACAAATAAAGTGTCACTCTTAGCACAATAACTCACAAACTTATGAGTAGAACATCATGAAATTTCAACAGCTTTCTTTTGAAAGTTAGTACTAACTGAAAAAGTGAATGCAATAAGATTAGCGCCACCTATGTGTTAGGCTCGAGACTTTTCAGTCCAGGTAGTAAAAGTCGGTCTTTCAGGTTTGTGCTCTCTTGAAGTGAAGAACAGTCCACCGTAATTCCCTTGATAATTATTGTGAAAGGTCTACCAACTGACGGTACGAGGCTTTCAAATATCATTGTACCCAGTTTTTTAGTTCGATCTTTACCTCCATAAATAATAATTGTGGTGATTTTCTTCAGCATTTTCCTGGTTACGTAGCAGAAAGTCCATAGTACTGATAAAAGCATCAAATGATTTCTTTACTTGATGCCGTTTTATTTGATTTATCTGATTCCTTCATAGTAACTTCATCTCTAAAAATAAGTAATATGCTATATGTTACCTCTAATCCGATATTTTTTTTGAAAGCCTATCGCTTTCTAGAATTTATTTTCCACCAGTATAATTTCGACTCTTTGCCAAGAGCTTACTTGTCATAAGAACACTTTGTACCATAAATAGCCTGAACGAATACAGTTGATTTGTCAGTTAATGGTGGCTAGTTAATATTTTTCAGATGTTATGTATTTCTGCGAGTAATTTGATTACATGTCATCAATTTATAACATAATTATGTATTTATTTACAGCAGCATAATCATCTACCCACTACATGCGTAATATCATCGACGTTTTTGCAGTAGTTACAGGAAGTTAATAATAATGAATTTAATGATTGTTATCATTATTGGATATAAAAATAACTATGTGTTTATTAGGAAGTACTTCAGAACTGAAATTGAGATCGTTGCTGAATTGAAGTCAGGCCACATAAAGATTTGCTTAGCACTCGGAATTATAGACTTCATTGGATCTACTCATCAAATCTGAAAAGTTCATTTATTAAACATAGGTGTGCATATTTACGATGGTTTCCTTAATATCGAAAAGAAGTAACACAATATAGGTCGTAATAGGCCGTGATCGAATGGAATATGTATCAAACGTTTCGTATGCTACTACGCCAGACATCATCAGTGGTATGTGCGTTGACTTCGAGATATAAGCTTTGTTTTCGCAGTCAATACCCATACTACTGATGAAATCTGCCAGTAGCAGAAGAAACGTTTGATAATACCAATTCCATTCATTTGGAGAACTGCGTTTATGTGGAATAAACTTCCTGAGAACTTTTTTCAAAATGAATTTAATCCCCAGCGATTCGCTACTTTCGCAGGAGCGCCGCTGTTAGAGCGTCGATTTTCCTGTAGTGCCGGCCTACCAGTCCGGATTATCTCTTATCATGACTCCGGCCGTGATATGTTCACATATCAAATCAGGGTATCGCAGGATAATTTTCGAAATAATTGTGATTGTAATTGTAATGATGTGGTAACTTGACCGCTTCTAGAATTCAATGGCAATTAATTCTGAAACCAATCAACGAATGACGTTACTAGGATATCAAAGACATAATAGAAATATGGAACATAACTTCGAAGTGGAAAGTTGTATGTATCTCAGCAACTTCTGCACATACTCTCAACTCGGCACATACTGAGTTCCACCCCTCAACATACCTTGAGGATGCTGAACTCTATCCAGAAAAGAACTCTGCTAGATTAGAGACCCCAAAGAATTAAACATTGAAGGCCTGGAAAGTAGATGGATAATTGGGACTATTTCATTTTACATAGATATATGTCAGAGGTACTTTCAGAGAGGATATTTCGAAACGAATACAATCTACAGCTATTTGAATACAACGCAAATCCCCACTATCGCAATTGTACTGCTCTCAAAGTATATTAAGGATTTTCCATATATACAATCAGTCCTTTACAAATTTCGCTGCCTAAAAAAATGTTTATCAGACAGAGACCTGAAATTTCTGTATTTTGCCCTTGTTGAAAGCCACTGAAGATACGCCATAATTACTACAATCTTTAAAATTGATTGCTTCCTTCCTTTCTTTGAAAGATTCCCACATTTATTGAAGTAGTAGAACGCCCAAAACTTTCTTTCGAACAATTACACTTCTCCTGTACCAAAGTGAAGTACCAATTCGATTTTCAACTAACACAAACGCCACTCGACAAAAACACGACTTTAATTTGCCCATTCCAAAATATTCCCACATTAAAGACTCTTTCATTTATAATGGGTTGAAAATGTTCAATCACCACCATCAAATCCGAAATTAGCATGCAATAACGTAAACTTTAGGGAAGTTTCGAAAGATTTTTTTTGTGAGAGAGCCTATTATAGTTTATCAGAGTACTATCAAGATATACTTTTTGATTCGACTTGTGGCTGACTCGTTTTATGTAATCAGTATTGAAAATTTTCCAAATAAACTATTATTGGCTATATTCGTGCAAGTGATGTATTGTGCTATGTAAATACTAATTGTTTTTGTACATATGTTCAATAACTACCTGAAATTTTATTCAACAACTACCTGCCAATGTATATTACTGTATAGTTTTCGAGAACATTACTCGAATAATTATAACTTGACAAGTAGCGATAGCTACTATGTGTGAAATTGTTTCTCGAATTAATTTCACCAAGCTTTGTCAATAAGATGTTAATCTTCAGACAATAAAGCATATTTTTACTTTGAGAATTCTGTGGTAACAAAGCAAGCTCTAATTTTTTGTACATAATACCATTTATACATATTTGTCAATTTTTATGGAAAACAAGTGCTTTGCACTTATCCTAAAATCGCATTATTCTTTCACTGTATGTTGTAACTTACTTGTATCTGTATTTGTATTTAACTATTGTAAATAAAGTTATATTATTATAATTGTATCCAACAGGGACTTCCATACTTCGACAATTGATAACGGCCATCTTGTTGAACCTACATTTGTCAAACTAGTTGTCATTTATTCAGTCTATTTTGCCAAATCACCATGGACGGATATAGCATTCAACAACACGTGCTAATAATAAAATTCTTTTATCAAAACGATTGTTTTATTCGTACCGCGCGCTTCGCCCATTTTACGGTCGCCATAATCATGCTACCGTGAGGCCTATTCGCAATGTGGAGGATAAATTCAAGTCCACTGGTTCAGTACGTCGACTAAACGCACATAGACTAAACGCCAGATCTGCCTAAAACATCGCCGCTGTCTGTGAGAGTGTGCAGGAGAATCCGAGACAATCGATTTCGCAATGCTCACAAGAACTCGGCCTTTCGCAGACCACAATTTGTCGAATTTTGCGTTGTGACTTGGGCCTGCACCCGTACAAAATTCA